GGGTTAGATTGTTCTCAGAGGAGTATCTTCCAACAAATTCAATCATTATTCCCAAGACAAGTAATAATACTATTATAGCTGTGAAAAGTACTATCATTACTCAGAAGAGTTCAAATGTTTCTCAGTCTTGGAGAACGTCAATACTCGACTGTATTCATTTCAACTTAAATGCATCAAATAATTCAAACATTACCTTATGAACCTGAACAAATGTATAATTGTATTTTCTTCAATTTCAAATATTAAAAAATGTCATTACAACTCATTCCACTCGATACCATCACGATCATTGCTAAATTTCTTTCATTTTCCGAACATCTCCAACTCATGCTAATCAATACCATTTGGTTCCATCTTTTAAATAGTGATGAGATGTGGAGAGGAAGAATAACACAACTCGACTCTCATCTTTCAATTCATGCCAAGTTGCTCAACAGGGAAGAACCCATTAAACTCCATGCAGAAAGTTCGAATATTAGAGAAATTCTAATGAATATTTATAAAGAAACCAAGGAATCGATCGATCTAGCATATAAATTGAAAGAATGTAAGAAAATTAAAAAACTCAAAAACACTTGGAGTACTAATTCGGAAGAAATTGAAAACTTTACTAAATTTTGTGAGAATTTCAAATTGGAGGAATATGCGAATTTACTGAAAGAATCAGAGCCAATTAGATGTTGCCTAGTTGGGCCACATGCTATTGGAAAGACCACTCTGTGTTATTATCTTCACCTTAGGAATGAAAAATCCAAATTGGAAGAGTGGTTTTCTGGATGGGGTCCCCATTACTATGATTCGTGTGATATTGATAGAAGTGAAGGTTATTGTTTACAATTAGTAGACACACCAGGTCAGGAAGAGTAAGTTTAATGATTCATTCTCAACCCTTTAATCATTGAATTATTATTATTACTCAGTTATGACAGATTAAGACCTTTATCTTATGATAAACCATCCAAATGTCACATTTTTATAATGTGCTATGCAATATCGAGTCCAGTAATGATGATTAAGTGTTTGGAGGATTTTTCTGATAGATTTCTTCCAGAAATTCAATCATTTTTGGATTACAACAGGTCAGTGTTGGTAGTTGGAACAAAATCTGATATTTGTGATTATTCAAAAACAGGAGATTTTCGTTTGGGAAAATATTGGAATAGTTATTTG